TGGCGGCGGTTTTCGGCGGCGAGGAGGAACACCGCCTTGAGTAAGAAAGGAGGAAGCATCGAGCGGGAGCCGTGGTTTTGTCGGGACGGGGGCTGTCGGCGGCGAGGAACAGCACCGTCCCGAGGAAAAAGGGAGGAAGCCTGGAGCGGTAGCGTTGTTCTTGCTGGGAGCGGCGCCAATTCAAAAGAGAGTTGGGCGCCAGTCCAGCGTAAAACGGAAGGAAGTCTCGGGCGGGAGCGCTGGTTTTGTCGGGGCGGCGGCTTTCGGCTGCGAGGAAAAGGCACCGCCTTGAGTAAAAAAAGGGAGGAAGCCTCGAGCGGGAGCGTTGTTTTTGCTGGGGGCGGCGCCGATGTTTTTGCTGGGGGCGCGCCAGTTCAATGTAAAACGAAAGGACATCTCGAGCGGGAGCGCTGGTTCCCCAAACACAGCTTGCTGAACGGGGTGCTGTTGTGATAGAAGCTAACTCCGGCCGAGGAAAGGGGAGCAGAGACATCCTCACAAAAATCTCATGGTCCGGGCCGTTTCGCTTGAGACATCCTCACAACTCTCGTTTCTGAGTTGGCCGGGATTGGCCGTTTCGCCTGAGACATCCTCGAAAAGTTGCGCTCCGGTACGCCGCGCGAGAGGTGGTCCGGGCCGTTTCGCTTGAGACATCCTCGAAATTCTAAGCCCCGAGGTGCCGTGCGAGAGGTGGTCTGGCTCGTTTCGCTGGAGACATCCTCGAAACTCCGGGCTCCGAGATGACGCTTGCGAGGTGGTCCGGCCCGTTTCGCTTGAGACATCCTCGCAACACTGGGCTCCGAGATGCCGCGAGAGAGGAGGTCCGGACCGTTTCGCTTTAGACATCCTCGAAACTCTGAGCTCCCAGATGCCGCGCGAGAGGTGGTCCGGCCTGTTTCGCCTGAGACATCCTCCAAACTCTGAGCTCCCAGATGCCGCGCGAGAGGTGGTCCGGCCCGTATCGCTTGAGACATCCTCTAAACTCTGAGCTTTGAGATGCCGTGCGCGAGGTGGTCCGGCGCGTTTCGCCTGAGACATCCTCGCAACTCTGACCTCGGAGATTCCGCGCGCGACGTGGTCCAGCCCGTTTCGCTTGAGACATCCTAACAACTCTGAGCTCTGAGATGCCCTGCGCGAGGTGGTCCGGGTGTCTCGCCTGAGACATCCTCGCAACTCTGAGCTCTGCCGTGCGCAAGGTGGTCCAGCCCGTTTCGCACAAGACATTCTCGCAACTCTGAGCTCCCAGATGCCGCGCAAGAGGTGGTCCAGCCTGTGGGCCCAGAAAACCACATGTTACATATCCCCCCTGGGACCCTAGGAGCCCCAGGAGGTCCCAGCGAGCTTCAGGAGGCCGCAGGACGCCCAGGATAGGGCCCAGGGGTCCCCAGGGGTCCCCAGGAGATTCCCAGGAGGCTCCCAGGAGGCCCCAGGAGGCCCCCTATCACAACGTGTCAAGTTAATACACATCTGGTGTCGATTCGTTGATTTTTCCTGCTCTTGTGGCCCCCGCCCTATTTTGGTGGGCCCATACGGCCACATGTTAGATATCCCCCTCTGGGAGCCCCAAGAGGCTTCAGAAAGCCCCAGGTGGGGCCCAGGAGGCCACAGGAGGCCCAGGAGGAAGCCCCAGGTCCCCAGGAGGCCCCAGGAGGCCCCCGCAATTCGGAGCTTTGAGACGCCGCGCTCGAGGTGGTCCGGCCCGTTTCGCCTGAGACTTCCTCGCAGCACGTTTCGCCCGAGACATCGTCGCAACTCTGGGGTCCGAGATGCCGTGCGCGAGGTGGTCCAACCCGTTACGCTGGAGACATCCTCGCAACTTTGGGCTACGAGATGCCGTTCGGGATGAAGAGGAGGTGGATGAGGAGGAGGAGGAGAAGGAGGAGGAGATGGAAGGGAGAAGTAGGAGGAGGATGATGTGGATGAGGGAGCAGGCAGGAGGAGGAAGGAGGAGGAGGAGGGAGAAGGAAGGGAGTTGCAGGAGAGGACCTAACGGGAAGCGAGTGTGACGTGGACTTGTCAGAACGTGTGCGAGAGGTTGTCCGGCCCGTTTCGTTTGAGACATCTTTCCAATGCTGAACTCCAGGATGTCGCTCGCGAGGTGGTCCAGCCCGTTTCGCTTGAGCCATCCTCACAATGCGAAGCTCGAAGATGTTGCGCGCGAGATGGTCTGGCCCGTTCTGCCTGAGACGTTTCGTAGCACACGGGCTCCAATCACAACCTTTCTCATTCCTTCTCCCGCCTCCCTCTCTTCCCGCTTCCCGCCTGGCTCCTCTTCCCTCCTCCCTCATCCCGCCTCCCGCCTTCCGCTGCTGCGCCTCTGGCCGCACTGAACGGGCACGCAATCGACCTTGGAAACCGCAGTGGGTTTAAAAACCCTGTTTGGGGATACTGCACTCCGGCTATAATTTTGTTAGGACGGCGGCGTTCGGCGGCGAGCAAGAACACCAGCCCTGAGTAAACAAGGAGGAAGCCTCGAGCGGGAGCGTTGTTGTTGTTGCTGCTGCTGCTGTTGTTGTTGTTGTTGTTGTTGTTGTTGTTGCTGTTGTTGTTGTTGTTGAATGAGGACGATTAGACCGGCCCGGGGGGACCCCAGCAACCCCAGCAACCCCAGCAACCCCAGCAACCCTTCCGCGGCCGCGGAAGGGGTCCTGGTAGGATCCCATAGGATTCCTGAGGGATCCCTATCGGATTCCTCAGGGATCCCATAGGATTCCTTAGGGATCCCATAGGTTTCCTATACGATTCCTATAGGATTCCTTAGGGATCCCATAGGATTCCTATACGATTCCTATAGGATTCCTAAGGGATCCCATAGGCTTCCTCAGGGATCCCATAGGATTCCTCAGGGTACCTAAGGGATACCCATAGGATCCCCATAGGATTCCTAAGGGATCCCATAGGATTCCCATACGATTCCTTTAGGATCCGCATAGGATTCCTATAGGATTCCAGTAGGATTCCTAAGGGATCCCATAGGATTCCTCAGGGACCCCATCGGATTCCCAAGGGACCCTACAGGATTCCTCAGGGATCCCATAGGATTCCTAAGGGCTCCCATAGGATTCCTAAGGGACCCCATAGGATTCCTAAGGGATCCTGTAGGATTCCTTAGGGATTCCATAGGATTCCTAAGGGATCCCATGGGATCCTATAGGATTCCTCAGGGATCCCATAGGATTCCTAAGGGGCCCCATAGGATTCCCAAGGGATCCCCATAGGATTCCTAAGGGAGCCCATAGGATTCCCATACGATTCCTATAGGATCCGCATAGGATTCCTAAGGGATCCTATAGGATTCCTAAGGGATCCTATAGGATTCCTCAGGGATCCCATCGGATTCCTAAGGGATCTCATAGGAATCCTAAGGGATCCCATAGGATGCCTATAGGATTCCAATAGGATTCCCATAGGATCCCAGTAGGATTCCTCAGGGACCCCATAGGATTCCCAAGGGATCCCATAGGATTCCTAAGGGATCCCATAGGATTCCCGTACGATTCCTATAGGATCCCCATAGGGTTCCTAAGGGATCCTATAGGATTCCTAAGGGATCCTATAGGATTCTTGAGGGATCCCATCGGATTCCTAAGGGATCCCATAGGATTCCTAAGGGATCCCATAGGATTACTATAGGATTCCAACAGGATTCCTATAGGATCCCCAGTGGGATTCCTAAGGGAACCCATAGGATTCCTCAGGGACCCCATAGGATTCCCAAGGGACCCTACAGATTTGACTTCGCCATCCCTGGGGGGGCTGCGGTCTGCGAAACTGTCGCCACTTTCGAGGGCTGCTGGGGGGGGGGGGGGGGGCATCGGAGTGACCTGCGCGGGGACTTAGTATAAACAGGTTGGATCCTTCGGAACGCTGAAATAGGAATTCGATAGGAAATGGTCGAGTCCCAGCCGCCGGAGGAATTCCTTAATCATTTATTTGTGTTTGAATCGGAATTCAATAGGACATGGTCGAGTCGGGGACGGGGGGGTCCTTAACTGCGTCCCCCCGTCGGGGCCCGAAAATGAACCTCTTGGGGCCCTCGTGGGCCGCTCTTGGAGCGGTCTTGGGTGTTCTTGGGGCGGTCTTGGGGCCCCCCTGGGCCCCTTTTGGGGCCCTCTTGGGCCATCCAGAAGCCATCTTGAGGCCTCAAGAGGCCATCGGGCGCGAAAGGGTGACAATGCAAAAAACATCGGAAAAACATACAGGATTTGAATGATTTTGGCCTCTTGAGGGCTTCCTTGGAGGGCTCGAAAGGCACTTGGAGCCGTCCTGGGGCGGTCTCCAGAGCTCTTGGATGCATGTTGATAGCTATCTTGAACCATCTTGGGATATCTTGCGCGATCTTGGAGACCATCTTGGGCTCTCTGGGACCCGCTTGGAGCCATCTTGGGCCATCTTGGACGCTCCAACCGCTCGCGGCACCCTCCCTCCAGGTCCAGGGGGAGGGGGTAGGGGGAGGGGGAACCCCCTCCCCGAAGGGGAAAAAGGGGGTTTAGCAGAACGAGCTCCTTAGACCACTCACGCCCTAAAGTGCTGGTGGGATTCGCCGGTTTGGGCCCACGCTGGCTAACATCGTAGCCACTCTGCCCCAGGCCTCTTGGGCGAACCCCACCGCGAACACCTTGGGCAAAGCTGTTGTTGTTGTTGTTGCTCCTGGGTCTCCTCCTCCTTGCGTTCCAGCGTGGGCGTGCATGGTTGAATGCGCCCAGGGTATTTTTTCTTCGGGCCCCAGGACTCACGGAAATCGACCCGCGGTCCGAAATCATGATTCCAGGACGGCCTCCAGGTGCGCAGATCGCTCAAGAGTGAACGACCCACGCGATGTCAGCAGCCAGTTCCCATGTCGTCGCGACTGCGGTCGTCTGCGTCGTCGTCGCCATCGCCCTCATGTCATCGGCTGGCTCGAGTGGCGCCCTGCGCCCTGGCTTTCAGCAAGCTGATTTCCTAAGCTCCTCCCATATTTCCATATCTCTAAGCCCCGACGGCATAGCCTAACGGCGCCGATGGTGGCCCTCGCCTACGGTCGTCTGGCCATGATGGCGATCACCAGGGTGGTTTTCGAGGGCGGCTTGACCGGCTCCGCCTGGGGCGACTGGTCGCTCTACCCGGGCTCCCCGGATTTGGCGGTCCAGGATCCGTAGAGGGAAGCTACACGCACCACCACCATGCCTCAGCAGGGCCATCCTGGGATGCAGGATGCTGTATCGACCCTCCTGCCCAAGGCAGGAGGGCGCATACACCATGCCGGGGTCCAGGATGGCCCTGGCCTGGCGTGGTGGCGGTGTATGCTTACCTGCCTTCTCGCGTGCAGGATCCAGTTGGCTTCGCCGTGAGCAGCACGCCAGACCTCAGCAGCAGCACCGTGACCATCACGATCATCACCGGCTCCGACTTGGGCGTCTTGGAGCTCCACAGCAACAACACCACAGACACCACCGCGATATTCTTCGGCAGGGAGCGATCGCGTTTGTTCTGGTGCACGCGGCGGCGGCGGTGGCGACGGCAACGGCTTCGCCGAGGCCGTGCCCTACTACAGGCGGCAGCGGCGGCGGCGAACGCCAAGGCCGAGGCGTCCGGCGGCGCGGGGCGCGGCCAGGGCGCACGGCGGATCGCGGCGGCTGCTGCGGCGGCAGGCGCCGCCGCCGCAGCGGCGGCTGGCGCGGAGGGCTCGGAGGGCCAGGCGGAGGACGATGAGTTTTCGGCCGCGGACCTCGAAAAGTGGATGGTCATCAAGAAGCGCGCAGGCTATCCATCTGGCTACAGCCAGCCCCGCCCTCGTGCCAGCGCAGCATCGCGGGGAGTGGCGGTCCGCGCGGGTCCTCCCGGGGCCCCCCAGGGAAGAACAGCCGACGCCCCTGCCAGACAGCGCATGGCACTTCAAAGCGCTTGGGCCCAGCATGGGTGGCGGATTGCGGACTATGCGTCGGAGTTTTCCGAGACTGGACAGGCCACAAAAGCCGCAGGCCACCTTGCAAGGCGCACGCCGACAGCCGCGACGTGCTGACGCCGGAGGAGATGGTGCAGCTGCGTCAAGAGTTTGTGGAGGAGCTCGCGAACCCTGCTTTGGCCAAGGAGAGAAAAATTGCAAAGGCAAAGGCTAGGCACCACGCGGGGTGGAAACCTCCGGAGGCGCCGCAATCTCAGGAGGAGTACCGCTTTGATTTCGGGAAACATTCTGGTTCCACCTTGAGGAGTGTGCTTCAGGAGGACCCTGGCTACCTTGATCGGTTGATGAGTTGGAGGAACAACATCCTGGACCAGAAGCTGACATTGAGGTGTGCTCTTGAGAAGGAGGGCCTCCTCGAGGGGCTCCTGGCGAAGAGGCCCCAGCTGATGGTCGAGAGAGCGCGGGGGATGATCGCGAAGGCGGCGGAGGACAAGGACAAGCCCCTGCATCCGGAAATCGCCAAGTTGCGGGTCGCGCAGCACATCGAGGCCACCGAAATCTTGGCCATGCATTCCAGCGAGACTGCCGTGGCGGCGCTTGCAGCGCCCCCGCGGGACCAGCAGCAGAAGAGAAAACGAGTGTCGGCAGCCAGGTACCTTCTCCCGCACTGTTCCAGATGTGGGAGCGTGGAGCACAAGCGGCCGCAGTGCCCGAACAAATCGCTGCAGGGCGAGGTCGTGGAGGACTGCCGCAGCCAGGCCGTCGTGGATTACATGCGGAACCGCCGATCTGCTGCACTTGTCGCCAGGCTGAAGTACGCGCAAATATCTATCAGAACGCGGGAGTACGAAGAGAGGGCGAAGAAGATGGCGAGGGCCCCGATTGACACGGACTTTGTGCAAATGGCACGGTGGTCCCCAGAAGAGTTCGTCCACTACCTCGTGTCCGCTGGCATTTTGCACGACTTGAAAGGGACGCCGTGCCCGCGAGGGAAGTGCCAATCCTCCAAGAAGTCGAGCTTCCTCGAGGGCGCCGAGAAGGAGCTGGGCCAATTGCGATGCAATGCTGAAAAGGGGCAGGATATTATCATTGAGACTGCGTGGCACGCGTGTGGCGTGTGCCGCGTGCACCAATCCGTGGCTCTGCACAATCCGTTGTTCTCTGGCCTGCTTGGGAAGGGCAGCAAGGGCGTGTCGATGTGCGTGATGGCGTGGTGGCTAGCCGCTGAAGGGGTCCCTGAGTCGGTGGCAGTGCGGCAGCTCAATATCCATGAGGGCGTCGTGCAAGGTTACTACGCCCGGGCTCGCGCGATCATGTCTGCGGCAGCGATTCGCATGCAAAGGGGTATCAGGGAGGCTGTCGCCGGCCCGGGGAGGAGGGGGGTGTCGGGCAGGGGTGACGGCGGGGGGGAGGAGGGGAGGACGGGGGGGACACAGCGGGGGAGGAGGAGGAGGAGGAGGAGGAGGAGGCGGAGGAGGAGGAGGGAGGCGGAGGAGGTTCAGGAACAGCAGCAGCAGGAGGAGCAGCAGCAGCAGTCCTATCCTATCCTACCCCCTCCCTCCCCTTTCCCCCCCCTCCCCCTCCTTCTCCTCGTTCTCCTCCTCCTCCTCCTCCTCCTCCTCCTCCTACTACTACTACTACTACTACTACTACTACTACTACGACTTACTACTACTACTACTACTACTACTACTACTACTACTACTACTACTACTACTACTACTACTAACTACTACTACTACTACTACTACGTACTACTACTACTACTACTACTACTACTACTACTACTACTACTACTACTACTACTACTACTACTACTACTACTACTACTACTACTACTACTACTACTACTACTACTACTACTTACTACTACTACTACTACTACTACTACTACTACTACTACTACTACTACTACTACTACTACTACTACTACTACTACTACTACTACTACTACTACTACTACACTTTTCTACGAGTACAACTTCGACTACTACTACTACTACTACTACTGCTACAACTACTACGACCACTACCAGCACTACTACTACTACTACTACTACTACTAGTACTACTACTTCTGCTACTACCACTACTACTACTACTACCACGAGTAGTACTACTACTACCACTACTACTACTACCACTACTACTAATATTACTACTACTACTACTACGACTACTACTACTACTACTACTACTACTACTACTACTACTACTACTACTACTACTACTACTAACTACGAGTACTACTAGAACCCGACTGCCGGGGTACGAACCCCTCGCCGGGGCGAGGGGAGAGGGGCGACGCCTGCCGCCCCGCGTGGGCGCGGTGGATTCAGTGGGGCACCGGCTCTTCTCGAACGGTCGAGGTGGAGGTCGATGCCACGGTCATTTGCAAGTGGAAAGCCGAGGAGAACGCCGAGCTGACGCATTCATATTACTGTTACATTGGCATTCGCCAGCGAGGTAGCACGTCCCACTTCGCCATGATGCCGCTGGGCGTGAGCAAATCTCAGAGGAGGGGCATTGGAGACACCGGCGGAGTCCCCTCCGGAGGGGGGGCCGGGCTCTCGTCGCCACGGCCGGGCGCAGTTCGGAAAACGTCCGTTCGTTGGCCCCGGGGAGGGTCCGGGAGGCGATTGTGCTCTGAGTCTGAGGTGCCAGTGTGTCAACTCCCCCTCCTCCGATAATCCACCGGCGAGGGCCGCGTGGCCCCCGAATCGTCCGAGGCGTATCACGCTTTCTGCAAGGAGATCCTTGGCGACCGCAAGTACAATCTGCTGCTCATGACAGACGGCGCGGGCTGCTACAAGTGCCGCTGCTCGGATTGCGTCGTGCGGTTCGAGGAGCACCACAGCGTGAACCACTCCAGGAAGCCGAAGGCCGAGTTTTCCCGGCCCATCCCCGCGGTCGTCGCCGACGTCGACACGGGCCACACGAGGGGATCTATGGCTGGCACGATGACGATCGACAAAGAATGGGATCTTCTCAAGGAGCCTTTGCCACGGAACCTGACTGCCCGCACTGTGGAGGACGTCGATAGGACGGACGGCTACGTGAGGTCTCAGCAATGGCGGCGCTTGGTCGGCAACGACGATCGATGGTCGGCTTTTCTCGACGCAGCCAGGGAGTGGGCGAAATGCGCCGATTCCAGAGCGAAGCTCAAGCTGGGTCTGGCAACGGGGAAAGCGGGCAAGTTGGCTCTGGCAGCGGGGAGGCGCTTGGCCGCCGAAGCCAACCCAGCAGATCATCGGGAGGAGCGCGGGCCAAACCACCCCGAAGAACAGGGGCAAGAGCAGCGGGAGGAGCGCGCCCAAGAGCATTCCCAAGAGGCACCCGCACGCCATCGCGACGGGCATGCCGACGGCCGCGGCCCCGAGCATCGTGACGGGCAGGGTGGCCCCGCGCGCGGGCCCACCGCGCCGCCGGCGGCGGAGCCGTGGGTGCCCCCATGGCCGCTCCCGCCGCCGCCAGCCTGGCACGCGGGCGCCCTGTGGGGCGATCGGTATCCTGAGCGCCAGGGCAGCGCTCCCGTGTGCGGCCGGCATGCCTTGAACAATTTGTTGGGGGCGCCGCAGTTCTCGGACGGCGACTTGGAGGTGGCACGCGGCATTGTGGTGGCTCAGACAGATGATCCCCCCGACCTTCACGTGAGCGATGGAGGATGGTACTCCCACTCCGTGCTGGCGACTGTTCTGGATTCCGTCGTCCCTCCGTCGTGGCGAATGTTGTTGCGGCCTCTCTTGCCGTCTTCGTGGCAGGCATTCACGAGCAGCGACGACATGTTGGGGGCGCTGGTGAACCATAACAACGTCCATTGGTCGGCTATCCAG